CTGCCGCGGTTAGCATTCCCTTCAGTTGTTCATGGTTCAGGAGGTTTGCTACCCAGGACCCAAATTATCCACAGAGGTCTCCTTCTCTCAAAACAAACAGACTGCTGATGTAAAACGCTAAAAACACATGAAGTAAAGCAGTTCCACCTTAAAAATCCAGCTGCTTCCTGCGCCACACTGTTGAAGACAAAGGACGTCCCGGAGGGGCCTGGGCGAGCCGAGCTGCTGCTAATGTTAGCTCAGCTTGTTTCTCTGATAACTTCAGATCCCAGATGTCCGATGACTTTCATCCGGTTCAAATCTAAGAGTTAAAAAGCCTTCAAGAACTAGAACAGTGGACGGTAAAGGAATGTAGCTTCAGACCGGATAAACAGTCAATGTATGAGCAGCTTCTGGCAGACAACCACAACGCTGATGCAGGCCACAGAAGGGGGAATAACGGTGACGGCCATTGACAGCACCGGTGAAACGCAGCGTTACCTGATAAAATGGCAGATTTTGAACCATTGTTGGAAAGCCATTTGGGATAATGGGAAGGTAACTACATATAGATCATAGCTCTAGAGTTTATAGACATTTTAATGGGGGGCAGAAATGTTGGCAGATTATAGGTATAGGCTTGAATGAGATGCAATTTAGGTAGTCTAATCAGAATCAGAATTTTGTTTACTTGCCAAGTAGTTTTACGCCTACGAGGAAATGTGACCGGTGGGCAGTTGGTGGCATAAAATAAAGTAGCTTTCAAAATATAATAGATAAAGATAAAAAGATAAGAAGAGAAAGCGTGCAGAAAGAACGTGGGTGCATTAATGTAATGCATAGCTTCATATACGAGGGTGGGTATAAGATGAGTGACAGCATGGGCGAATCCCGGGGGCCTTGTTAGGAGGCCCCAGCTGCAAGACCGGGAAAGAAACTGTTTTTATGGCGAGACGTTTAGTCCTGATGGTCCCGCAGCCCTCCTGCCAGAGGGAAAGTATGCTCAAAGATACACAACATACAAACATTAATTTTATATGCGTATATTCATTGTTAGGGGTCTCTGCTTGCCTCCACTGAGTGACGCAAGCTAACAGCCAGTGCCAATTTGTTTGCCGTGGTAGTGTTGCGATTAGCAGTTCAGCATGGGCTCTAGTTTTCCTTCATTTTGCGTGAACCAAGAGAAGCAGTCGGGCTGGTTTAGCTGATAGGAACACGGTCTTGCATTAGATGCAGAAGTGGCAGTGGCAGTATTACGCAATTCCCACCACTCAGAGTACAATACAAGCCTGTTTCACCTTGTACAACTGAACTTTGAATGCGGAGTAGAATATTTTAAACAGTGGCTTTTTAAGTTGAATTCTTGAATAGAAAGTGACAGCCCCTATGAAGCACTGTAGCTTTTTGTCCCCCTTCTGACTCTGACAATACTGACAGTTTATCGCCCAATCCTATTACTCATGATCACTGGTGTCCATAGCTCGCCGGGCTGCTGCCACTAACCATCACGGAGAAGCTGACTGCAATGACGGTAATGGTGGTGAAGCAAACAACTCCCATAATCCCACACTAGTTTACAACGTCACCAAACTTAGTCTTTCGTTACTATTTTAATGTGAAAAACCCTGTAGTCGCACAAATTACATACTGTACGTTTAATTCCAACAATTTACGTGTTACTTCTTTACAGAACATTGTTGTTTTGTTTTTTCTATAAAAGTGACAGCCCCAGTGTTTACATTTTCAAGTAAGAATCTAATGGCTGTAAAAGGAAACCTGCTGCTGAATCCCATTTAAAGTTTAGCTAGGTATATACATTTGTAATGTGCATGGAATGTGAATCTATTTCATAACATCAAGTTGTGCATCTTAAAAAAGACCATGGCAATAATTATAGAAGGAGCAAGCTAGAGAGCTAGTGAGCGTAGAGCACACTGCACTCATTAGCAGCTTAAATCAAGATGAAGTAGTTTAGTTGAGCATGTATTTTCTTGCAATGACTGTCACATTTCATGCAATCAAATGATCAATAATGGCCTTTTATCGCCCAAGCCTGCTGGTTAGATGATACCATGCTTATTATTTTACAGCTTATAAAAGCAGCTGAAATGAAATATTCATCCACCAGCAGTCTGATCCGATTGTGAGAGGTGAAGTTAAAGTCTGGTCAGTGCAATGCCAACAGAAGCAGTAGTAAACAGAAGAAAGAATGATGGACTGTACTTTGTCAGCTTGTCTTCTGGACAGGGTGGGGAGGGGGGGTTATGGGAGGCCTGTCTTGACTTTCTTGGACGCTGGGGCGTCTCCATCACTTTGAACTGATCTCTTTCCTTCTTTGGCTTTGCCCTGGCCACTCGCAGCTTTTACCTGCGGGTCATTAACAACAGTCTTTACCTGGGAGGGTTCGAGGACCTACGTGGATCGGACAAGGGGAAGCTAGAGGGGAGGACATGGGACACTCTAGATGGGGACAAACGACAGAAACGTCCATTCATCGTCACAGCAGCCAAGGCGGAGGATGACATCATCATCAACGTTCCTTGCTCAATCTTTCCAGATACACATGGAACATTTTTCAGGCTGAGCTGATGATTTTAAGTTTTCCACTTGAGTCCAATGACCTTCCTGAGGACCTTTGTACTACCAGTATTTAATGCAGCAAATGCAAGTCTAGGGCCAAAACTAACAACTGTGTTGAATTTATCCGATTCATTTCAGCAAATGTTCATTCAATAAAAGGATTATAAAAAATTACTTAACAGGTCTAAACAATAGCCTAAATATCCCAAATTCATCCAATCATCATATAAAAAGAGTAAAACTGCAATTCGTCTTGTTTGAGAGCCTGGCACCAGATTAGATGGTTTACCTTGGTTTAGCAAATTTTAACCCAAGGCCCTGCTTTATCCATGTCCACAGCTTTTAAACACATCTCATGGTCTTCATCGTTATTCATCATTCCATACGTTGATCAAATAATGACGAACACACCAATTCTTTTTTTTAAAAGTTAAGCAACAAAACAGAAAAACAAAAGAATATAGTGTATTTTCTTTTATGCTGAGTATCAATGGAATCTACTATCAACTACTACTATTTCATCTATGATTTATCATGTTAGGGTGGTAATGATCAGCAGATGTGGGGTAGTGGGGTGAAGGTTATTTTTATTTTAGAGATTGTTAGGCCTTAAAAATGAAAATACAAAATCCTGGCCTTTGTTTAGGCTTAATGATTATCAGTGTGCGGTGTAAAAATCACAACATTTAGCTTCAATTCTGACTTACCTCTATGGGTTTTTAGACACAATTACAAAATGTGTGAAAACCTTTTTAAAAATGACACGGAGGAAAGACACATCAACCACACATTGGAAGGAGAATAAACTGGTTAGAGACTTCAAAAAGAGAACAGAGAGGACTGGAAGAAAAATCACATTAATACGGAAAAAACACAGGAGATACAGACAAATATTGCTTAGTGGAGCACTAAAGAGAAGAGTCCAACAGCTACTGTACTCACAATATTTCTGTGACAGATGATTTTTTCAGTATATGGTGGCCAATATGTGTGCTGAACTGTTTACAGTAGTACACTGGCAAAGAGCATTAAATGTACATTTGTACCAAAATCTCAATGTTTTTACCAAAAAGTATTGTTTGCTTTACAACTCCAGTATCAGCTGGACTCTACTCAAGTCTACTATTACTTTGCTAAAGAACTCATGTGAACTACCAGGCTAGCTCAAATATTTTAGAAAATAAAAAAAAAATATATATTTTTTTTTAAACAGGATCAGGTTGATGGTGCATTCCCACCAAAGGCAAATAAAATTATTTGCATGAATAGATTACATACAAAGTCAAAAACAAAGATGCAGATAAACGCGAAATTCATCCCATTCGACATTCTGCGCGAGTTCAAAATACTGAACTTTGAGTTGTGTTGTATGGGAAGGAGCAGAGAGACTGAGCTGCTGCAGAAGAGAGCCGGAGCTTCTGGAGGAATAAAAACCCGTAGTCACACCAGATTCTGCTCTGATCTGGAGACCATAACCAGCAAGAGGAGAGCCCTGAGTTTATTTTTGAAACTTTTGAGAAAGTGGATTTATGTTCACTCTCTGTTCTCAACCTGTCGGCTGCGAGCCACTTGTATCCGTCTATGTGCACCTGGAGCTCTATGATACTACTTCATATTTATACCGAGACCGGACAGAAAAGGAGACTGCTTGGAGAAAAGTGAAGAAGGAAAGTGGCCTACCTGGCGAGTGTTGGAATCTGTTTCTGTTACATGATTCCAGCTATCACTTTTAGTTTATTATGCACTAAGTTAGCATAGTCCTGATAAACTCGAACTCCATTCAGAAAACAAGCATTTTAAAAGTTGCTTGCTTGGCGTCTTGTGCACAGACCCCAAAAAGTATTAATTCAGACCATCAACATGTTTATTGACAATCACAGAAACATATGTTTATTCTCGCTTTACTTTTGGTGGGAACGCAACATTAGACTCCTTCAAGTGAGTTTACATCTTCTGAAAGGAACTAATTACCTCAACCGTGGATTTAAATGTAAAAATTTGAACCAAGTCAGATGTTCACTTTATATTATTCTACTTTACATAGAGTAGGGTTGGGCAATATTATAATATTTTTAATGCTAAAAAAAAAGGGTTTAGTAGAGCACTGAAGAGAAGAGCCTGAAACATGTTATTTGCTCACCTGCTTTAATGAAAATGGAATCATGGGTGAAAAATTCTAAATGTGAGCTGCTTGATAAATATGGGCCGCTTGATAAATATGGGCCCTGATCCAAATATCTGACCCTAAACCTGCATCCAGAAAATTCAAAATTCAAATAACAACTTTTGAAAAAGATCATATGCTTCTGTTTTTATTCATATCACCCAACCCTAACTGAGGAGAGGCTGTTTTAAGAACAAGAGCAAGAGTAACTTGCTTGGTAATAGTGTAATAGAGTATGTGAAATATTCCTGTATAATCTTTGATTTAATTTTGGCCAAAGTTGAGCTTGAGTTTTAAAATCCCCCCTCCTCAATTACAATATCATGATAAAAGACAAGTGGAACAGTTTGTAATGACAATGAACAGCATTTACTCACCACAGCAGATCCGCTCCCTGTTGTCCTCATCTTCATGCTGACTGTGTGAGTCTGGTTCTTCAGCAGAGGAGCTTTGCGGCCCAGCTTCACGTAGAAGTAGGTGGTGTACGGAGTGAAGCTGAAATCCTCTCTGAACAGCAGACAGGGAAGACTTAAATGACTCTAAACTGTCCCACAGTGTGTTGATCAACAATTACATCCGTTAATATCAGACAATAATTAGTGGTTAACTGTAAGGTTGTCAATACCACATGTTTAAAACAATACAATAGTATCATTCATTAGCAGTTTAAGTACCAAAGGTATTTAAAAAAAAATAAAAATAAACAAAAGATTTTCAACCCAAGTCTTCACTAGTGAAACATGGGGAATAAAATCAACTGGTCCTCATTATGTGTTCAGTGACTTTTAAACAAAGTTACAAAGAGTGTTGTTTCTTCTTTGACAAAATGATCTTTTGTTAGAATAGTATGGACTCCAGAGAGCATATGAACCTCCACCTCCTAAACCTTGTTATGACACAAAATTTGAAAACTGCACCCTGCAGCCCAGAAAACTCCCAGACCAATTGCATGCAAATCATGATGCAATTATGCCAATCGAATCTGTGCATTTCGATAAGCACTGCAACTTGAGTCAGATACACATACAGGGGAGTCTAGATGACAGACAGTTGGAGAAAAACAATTTTACTAGGAGTGCTCTTAAAAGAGAAAAGTAGGCAGCGAAAAGAGCTTTTAATCCAGAATGCACAGGCGCTGACAGTGTAAAGCACCACTGACATTACAAGACAAAGCACAGAGCATCTTTTGGGCTAATATACGCACTCAAATTGAACGGAGTGCACAGTAATTAGATCCTTTTAATAATAAGAACACATTTGAAGCAGTAAATAATGTACCAATCCTAACAAACTGAATACAAACAGCAAAACATGATGACTGACCTGAGATATTCCTGCAGCAGCAGCCGCACGATCACAGCTTCAGCCTGCATTCGAGGCAGCGTGGTGGTCTGGATCATCTTCCTGCGCTTGGCTGGGCCTTTCCCCATCCACGCCTCCACCAGCTTCAGAGGAGTCAGCTTCTCATCCATGGACGCTGCCAGCTCCACGATCTGCACCACCTGCCTGCCATACTGGGTAATGTCCACTGACGTAAAGTCTGGAGAGGTAGAGGTCAGGGGATCACTGACTTTTTTTACCAGTCTAAAGAATACCTTATATCATTAAAACACATCACATACACATAACCCACCTTTTGCATGGCGGCAAGTATCACACATCTGATTGCATCCTTCATCGTCCCACACCTCATCAAAATGAACAGCCATAAGAGAGCGACGACACCTTCACACAGTAAACGTGAGGCTCAATATACATTAAGGTCATGGTGTGTAAGCCCTTACACTGTGTGAAGTACTGAGAGTGTGTGTGTGCTACCTGTCAACATTCTGGCAGTAGTCAACCATCTGCCTCAGCTTCTGCTGGCCAACGTTCTCCATCACCACCATGGTGCTGATCCTGAAGATGTCAGAGAAGCCAAAGTAGACAATGCAGTCTGCTGGACTGTCATCTCGACCTGGAGACACAGGCAGAAGGATTTTTACGTGGTGTACCTGCAGAAATACTCCAGCAGTATAAACTACAAGTGAAACAGTGTCTACCTGCGCGTCCACTCTCTTGGTAGTAGTTCTCAATGGACTTGCTGATGGTATGGTGGATTACGAACCTGACGTCAGGCTTGTCGATGCCCATGCCAAACGCCACTGTGGCTACCACCACCTATAGGACAACACGAGCAAGTACTGTAACATGTACACCAGTAGGCGTTTTTTATTTCTTTTCAATTATAGGCAGCCACATGTGCAGCCCTCATCATACTTCAGTTTTTAACTCAATATTGTAGTTACTGCATGCTGTTTACATACAACTGCATACATACATACATACATTTAGTGATAGACCGATACGGATTTTTTAGGGCCGATGCCGATTTTTTTTTCACCAGCCTTAGCCGA